CTCCGGCTCCGGCCCAGCGCCCGCCGCGGGGCACGCCGGGAGATGCAGTCCGCCTGTCGTCCGCGCCGCCGTCACCTCCCTCGGCCTTCACAGAGAGCCGCGAGGCACGCCGGGAAATGAAGTCCGCAAAGGCCTCAGGGTAAACACCAGGGATGACCGGTCGCGCTGCGCGAGTCCTGCGTAATCTGTCAGTCAACTGTACCTTCGCGGACCCTGAAGCACTTTGGGAAATAGAAACCCTCACGTTCACGTCACTGCAGTCATGCCTTCCCTAAGCTGCGCAGGTCATGATGCACGCCGGGAAACGGAGTCCAGTCTGTGTATGTCTACCGGAGCCAGGTGTACACTGGGAGATCGAGTCGGCGCCCGTGAACCCACAGATCTCGGGCTGTGAGGCAAGCCGGGAAATGGAGTCGTCGCCACGCCCTCACCGCATTGCAGGTGTGAGGCAGTTCCTAAAGCACGCCGGGAAATGGAGTCCCAGGTGGTCGCTAAGCCCCAAACGGACACTGCAGTTCCGGAGCTAGACTAGGAAATGGAGTAGGTACCGCGTGCCTCCTCCCAGTTACGCTGGGCCGCAGTGCCTGCCGGGAAATGTAGTCGATACCAAAGCTTCAGAGCAGTTGCTACGGCTAGCCCTAGTGGCTTTTGGGATATGGAGTTCAAGGCATCCTCCCCATAAACTGAAGGGGCGGGATCTACCATTAGCCCGAAGCATGCTGGGAATAGTCCAGACTGGATCCTCACTCTTTGTGGGGCTGGACTGCAAAGGCTTGCCGGGAAGTGGAGTTCAGTGGGTACCGTCGGGGAAGTATGAGCGAAAGGATAAGGACAGCGCTTCCCTGGGGAGAATGAAAAGTGTTTCAACGCCTCCTCCCTCGCCTTCAAGTCCTAAGAAAGAGCTGTGGTTGATCAGAGACCGCTGGAAAATGGAGCCAATCTCCTTTAAGTTCCAGGTGACCACATATCAGAACAGAAAAACCGTCCTTCCCCCCCGCCAAGGATTTGGGAGACAAAGTTCCCGGCAGTTTATCAGAATACTAGTCTTCGGATATAGTCTAGCTTTTTCTAGCAGTGTGGCTCACACCAGGAAGCTAAGCCTAGTGTTTAAAAGACGGAAATAGAATTTGTCTTGAACCCCATTCGGTTTTTTGCGTCCGCCCGCTTCCTAAATTACAGTATCCTGGATTGCCAAAACCAAGGAAGCCGACCGCAAGGAGGAGGTTCAGGTAGTGTGCGTTCAGTGAGTCGTTCCATTTATCGATTAATACCCGGAAGGAAAGCAGCCCCCCAAAAGGGCGCTGGGAAACAGAGTTTTCTGTGTATGGTTGTGTGTTCCTTCCTCCTCCGGAAATACTTGGAACTAGAATGAAAGCGCTCTCAGCCCCTCCAGCCTCATAAAATGGGAAAGAGTCTAGGGACTCCCACTTTAATCCGAGCCTGTGTTCCCACTGTCCTGTCCCTTCTGAAGCCACAACAATGTCCTGTCTACTCGGTATGCTCCTGACCACGATTCCTAGCGGACACAGAACCGCGTCAGATGGTAGCGCCAAAGCCTTTCCAGACTACATAATCCAGAAGGCAAAGCGCAGACACTCTTCCGCTCCCTTCACAAAGCCTGCGACTATATCACCGCGCCCCTTGGAGCGGGTGGTTCTGGGAATTGTGGTTTCCCGGCCGAACGGTGCCTGTTGCCCTCTGATGGCAGCTCGGAATCGAAAAGTAAAAATTTGAGTCAAGCCCCATGACCTAGGGAACCCGACACGGGACTAAGAAAGCTCACAGGGGCGGCGAAACGGGGCTGGATAGCAGCGGTTACTTAACCGCCGGCACCCGTGAGACATGCGCAGTGGCCTGCACGTGGGCAACCGCCGCGAGGGAATTAGGGTCTCGGTCAGAATGCTTGTAGGAGGTGAAGACGTTCAAAAAGGGAGCTAGGAAGGGTTATAAACGTCAGGCCTGTGGATGCCTGGAGAGGTTGGGGGGAGGGGCGTCCGTGGAGAGGTGAGGGGGTCTTTGATGCCCTTATAGGCACCTGAGAACAGTAATTGGGGACCAGTGAAGAAGCCTAAAGGGGCTTAGGGTGTCTATAAAAGGTCTGGGAGGGACTGTGAGAAATTTCTGGTGACAGGGACCGCTGAGCGGCCTGAAGGGATGAGGGATGGTTGAACAAAATCAGGAAGGGGCTTTGGGAGGGTCTGTGGAGGTGCTGGGGTATAGATGCAAGGGAGCGGTGGTCTCTGATGGGATGAATTAATGTGTGAAGCGTCCTAAGAAGTCTATAAAAGGCTTTTTACTTGGAAGCAAGGATCTCAGGGGATATGGACTGGACCAAGGGTGTCTTCTTACAGGAACATGTTAAACTTGCAAATGGATTTAGGTGGGCGATTAAAGATCGGGGGAGCAGCTGAAGTTTTCAAGACCATATGCCACCTGTGACTTCCCACACAGCCAGAATCTGGGGCAACAAGTCTGGTAGGACTGTGGTCTGGCCTGGACAGCAGTTCTGGAGCTGAGCACTTCTGAATCCATGTTAGACGTGGTTAGAGGTGCTTTGAAGGCAATGGGGTCAGAGGCTGAGGCTACTGCTCAGGGTGGCAACATCCCCCTTTCTCCATCACCCCACCACCACCAATTCAGCTGCATCTGTTGCCAGGAGACATGCTTCATCCCAACTTCCAGAAATAGCCCAGTGGCCCCCACCCCAGGGAATGACTTACATCACCCAGGAGAGGGAGCAGTTGCCCACAGGCCACCATAGGAGCCTAGGTTTCCTGCCAGTATCCTAGCCCTGGATCCACTCTTTGCTGCCAACCAACATCTGGGACCACCCACCCTGGGCTGGCATGAGATGATGTTTAAGCACAAGTGGGTAGTGGTTGCCAGTCAACGTTCCTTCCTCCTCAGAGTTGCACAGGGTGGGGTTTGACTGCGAAGCCGGTCCAACAATCCCTGAGCCTTCAATTGCCACTCCATCTCTTGGTAGCTACCTGGCCTTGGGGAAACCCCTTTCCCTCTCTAGGCCCCGGGCACTTCACCTGCACTGAAGAGATTGGGCTTGTCTCCAGGGCACTTCCAGCCTGGATTCCTTCATCTCTGATTTGAGCTCACCAATCTTGTCCTCTTAACTTTATGAGTTTGTCTCCTAGATTCTACAGTCCTCAAAACCTGATCTGGATTCCACCATTTTGGCTTTAAGAAAATTCAGTTGCTTTTGAAAGAACATGGGCTTTGGAGAGAAACCTCATTTAATGTCCTGACTCAGCCTGAGGGCCTGACAAGTCACTCAATTAAGCCAATTGCTCTACCTTGGAGATTGGATGGAACTACAGTAGTGTCCTAAGTCCTCGGCACACAGTCAGTCAATAACAACTATAACTAGTGAGCCAGTCCCTACTCAACTCGCTGGAGGGAGGTTATTTCCATGGCTGGACTGACATATCACTGTTACCTTGCGAGATCTACATTTCAAAAGACAATTCAGGCCTGGTTTCCAAAGAACTCCCCAGCTTAATTCAGAGCACCCTAAGGAGAACAATGTGAACAGGGCACTCACTAGAGGTAGTGAAAAAAGGGGCTCCTGGCCTTCACTAGGTACCTGGGGTATGGGTAGGAATTCATAGAGCTACAAGAGGGAAGCCACTGCAGGCAATCAGAACAGCAAAGGCAATGGGGGGGTGGTGGTGAAATCTAAAGAGATTGATTCCAAAGACAAACAGATCCCCATGGAATAGAGGAGCCATCAGAGATAGACCCAGAGTACACCTGAGGTCAGGTGATGGTTTCCCAAGCCTGGATTTGACCCATTTCGATAGGGTTGGGGCCTCTGGCCACAGATCTACTACTATAGAGCTGATCTAGGTCCCATCCTTTAGAATTAGGCAAAAAACTGAAACCCTGTAGCACCTAGGACAGATCACCGCATCCAAAGGTCCAAAGTTTTATTATTTTGAATACATTCTCCAGCGGCCCCCCTTCTCCCCCCCCACCCTCACTCCCCAATACAGAATAAGGCTTGACCACAGCACCCCCATCCCACCCCAGGGGGCCCAGCTAGGAGGCAGAGGGGGCTTCCAGTTTGGTTTCAGGGCACCCCCTTCCCATCCCCCCACCCACCTGCCCATGGGCCAGTCCTAGGAGCAGCTGGGGGTGAAGGGGTTGGGCCAGTGCTGGGGTGAAAAGTGGAAGAGGGATAGCAGGCACTTGTAGAGATTTGTGGCCCATGGGCGGTACCTCTTACCCTCCTCCGCCCACCACCCCCCACACATGGGATTTTTGGTTCATTATAAAATCGTCCCTCCCTCCCCTGCTGTAACCTTGTGGGGTATGAGAAACCCAGGCACTCATGGCCCCTGGAGGGGCAGGGAAGGCAGGGCTGGGGCTGAGGATGGCTGGGGAGTGGAGGGGGAAGGTACAAGAGGCAGAGAACAGGGAGGGAGACAAGGCTTTACTTCCTAAGTGATTGTAATAAAAAAAGTTCCTGGGTACTAAGGCCAAAGCCTCAGTTCAAATATAAATTCCCCAGAATAGAGGTGGCCCCTTAACTTTCCCCTCCCTCCCCCCACCACCACTTAGAAACCCACAGACACAGGGAACAGCCCCCAGCCCTGGGCACCCACCCACCCCCACCATTAAAAAAAAAAGAAATTAAAGTTTTATACAAAATGTGGGGAGGGGAACGGGAGGAGGCAGGGAAGAGACTAGAGAGCTGCCCTCACCTCCAGGGCATGGGGGGGTTAAGGCAGCATAAGAAGCATGGGGGCGGGGGGGACATGGTCCCCAGCCCACAGCCCTCAGGAATCTCGATGCTCTAAGGAGAGCTGGGCCGTGGCATGTTGGAGGTCAGAGCTCACCCGCCTCGTGGTGAGGGGACCCCCAGCCTCCCCAGGGCCCTCCCCACGCACCTTCTTGTCCTCGCCCTCATCCTCAAAGCCCCCAGCAGGGCCCCCACCCCCTTCCAGGCGACAGTCTTCACTCCAGCGCCGCTTAAAACGCAGCTTGAGGGGCATGCACTGGGCTGCCCCAGGAGCCTCGCCGGGCTCGGGCTTGGGGGGTGCAGGTGGGGCACGGGGCGTCTTGAACACTTCCCCGTCTTCTTCATCCTCATCGCTGATGTCAGTCACCTCCACCTCCTCCGACTCGCCTTCCGAGATAGGCTCCACCTTGATCTGTGGCGGCGGTGGTGGTGGAGCCAGTGCCCCTGCCCCCTCGGCCAGCCCACCTGGGCCGCCACTGCTCTTGTCAGCACCTGCCGGGGCCTTGTCCCCAGATGCCCGCTGCCGGCGTCCTAGTGGGGGTGGCTGAAGCTTAAACTTGAATGGGGAAGAGGAGGAGGAAGAGGATGACGAGGCCGAGGAGGGGACCGGCGGGGTCTCAGGAGCCATGGGTGGCAGCGGGCACTTGTCAGGGCGCTGGGGCTGGGGCACCACCAGCCCAGGGTAGTGCAGGAAGGCGCGGGGGCTGAGGTGGTAGTTGTAGACGCTTTGGGTATGGGCCTGCAGGTACCGTTTCATGTCCTCAGGGCTGAATGAGAAGTGGGAGCCTCCCCCTGAGCCACTGGGGCCCCCACCACCACTGGGGTACATGGGGCTCAGCGTGGGCGAGGGTGTGTAGGCCAGGTGGGTAGGTGTCATGGGTAGAGCCGGTGAGAGCTGAGGGGGTAGTAGGGAGCCAGGCCCAGCCAGAGGCGACACAGGGAAGGGACTGAGGGGTTCAGGGCCACCCCGGGGCCGGGGGTAGACACGGAAGACGCCAGGGTCATGCGGCAGGCGGGCCAGTGGAGGCCCTCGGAAGGCACCCAGCTCCGGAGGGCCAGGTGGTCGGGCCCGGGGGTCTTCTCCCAGTGGCTCCTCCAGCTCTGACGTGCCATCACTACAGTCACTGACTGAGCCTCGGCCCAGGCGGCGGGCCACCACAGCCGAGAAGAGAGAGGATGACGACGAAGAGCAGGCCGGTGGGGAGCGGGGGTCCTCGGTGGGGGACAGCACCTCGGAGGGCGTTGAGGGAGGGAAGCGGAAGTGGCTGCCGCCCGATGGCACTGGCGGGGCACTCTGGGGCACCGCGCCCCCTGGCAGAAGAGGGGAGACTTGGTGTCAAGGACCCTGGCCTGGCCTGGACACACTGACAGACCCTCTCCACGCCCACCATCCCTGGTACTCACCAGCCAACCCCACATCAATGAAGGGGTAATTAACCAGCACCAGTTTGTTGAAGTTGAACTTGTAGGTGAACCGTTTCCCCTTGGTCTTGTGCAGAATGCGTTTGTTATAATAATAGCTGTGGGTGTAGAAGCACCATTGGGATGGTCAGGTACACGGGACCCAGGTCTAGACCCCATACCTTGACATGCGCTTAGGTGCAGCTCACAAAGGACAACCAAAAAACAGGAGAAACACAAGAGAAATCAAGTGCCCAGAGGGTGGGAAACAATTCTCCCCTCAAGCCTGGGGCCAGAATACAGGCGCCACCAGTGACTATGCTCTCGCCTCAAGACCCCTCTGTTACAAAGGACTCAGAGAAGGTCTAGGATTTGCCCAGAGTCACACAGCTAGGATTTACCAGAGCCAGGGATCAAACCCAAAGCCTATTCCCACAGGGAAGGGGTTTCCCAACCCGTGGGGGCCATCTGCATCTGTTCAGGGGCCCCTCCTCACCGTAGGGCCCGGCTCAACTTGTCGTAATTCATCTGGGGCTTGCACTTGCGGACACCCCAGAGCCGGGCCACCTCGTCTGGGTCCTTGATGACGAATTCCCCATAGTCCCCCTGCCAGGCAATGACGCCTTGGTACTCCTCCTTCCGCAGCAGCTCCAGGATAAAGTGCCACAGCTGGATCTGCCTGGAGCCAGGGGACGACTCCGGCTTGTAGGCCCAATCCGGGAAGGCAAACCCTGGGGATGGGAGGCAGGGAGCGGCCCTGGGTCAGGAGCCAAGTCTGGGGCTCTGGGTCCCATCCCAGGGTCCACCTTCTGCCCCGCCCTCAAATGGGGAAATCCGCCTCCCCTCAGCCAAGTCAAAACCTGAGTTAGAAGACAGTGTGTGTCTGTCCATGTGTGTGAGGGGGCTAGACAGGAGCTGGGGGGAGGGGAAGCTGGAGCCTGCTCCGGCGACACCGGGAGAAACAGGAAACCGTCGGCGGCGGGTCCCGGGGCCAGTGCCAGGGGGCCAGGCACCAAGCCAGGCCGACGGGCAGGGCTGCCAGTGGGGGAGGGGCAAGAAGGGGCACACGTGGCCAGTTGGGTTGGGGTGCAGTACTCCAGCCCACCCCACTCCCATTCAGAGACAATTGCACCCCCCCTTTCCAGCTTCCAGCTCCTCTGATCTCCTCCTTAGGAACTACACCGTCTTCCCCCCAAGACCCAAAAGAGCCCATACTCCCACCCCAGGACCCGAGAGGAGGATTTTTTTTTTTTTTCTTAAAAGGACCAGGAGGGGTGGGGTGGCTGGTTGATGATGAGGTCAGCGTTTGCATACAGAGAGGCTTCTGTCTTCCCTGGAGAGCGAAACCCAGACTGTCTGAGAGGGCCCCCCCCAAGCCCTGGACCCTCTGAGTTCCACTGCCCTGCCCAGACCCAGGCATCCGGGCCCAACCTGGCTGGAGGGCTCCAGCCCAAGCCTCAAGATAGCAGGACCCACGGGAGCTGTCGCCCTCTTCCCACTTCTGCCTTCTCATCCTCAGCTTCTTCCCTGCCCACCTGCCTGCCTGCCCCCAGCGTTAACCTTGGGTAGAGGTTGGTGGTGGGCTGGTTGGTCCCTAGAGGGGGTGGGCAGTGCAGGGTGGGGGAGTGGGGGGGCTGCGGTTGTTGTCATTTCCCAAACCCCCGGGTAATCAGGGGCCATCAATAATTCAGCACTAGGCAGCCGGTAATGGAGGGGTGGGAGGAGGGAAAGGGGAGGAAAGGAAGGAGGGGGGAAGGCAGGGCAGGGGCCCTGGAGCCACTAGACAGAGAAGGCCAAGGTGGATGGCTACAGATGGGCGGGGTCCCTAGTCCTAGTCAGGCTGCAGGGATCAGCCTCCCTGCCTTGGCCCCAGCTCAAGCAGGTACCAACCAGGCGTCCGAGAAACACTGCGCCTCCCTCAAAGACTCCACCCCAGTCTGGAATCCAACAGGGGACCATTCCCCTTGGGAACACAGGTGATCAGTAGTTTCTACTCCCAAGGGACCATCCCCTCCAAATCCAGAGCTCACTGTCCCCCACAGGATCCAGGTCCCTGACCACTGGCTCTGGGTATACTGGGATGGCCAGTATTACATTCCCCACCTAGTCCCTGCCCCATTCAGAAGTCCCAGCCTCAAACTAGTCCCTTAGGGCTCCAGGGATATGACCTCCAGTTGTTCGCAGACAAGCAACAGCAGCCCCTGTTCCACTTAAAAGTGACAACCTTGACAACCCCTTCCCCTGGCCCATGGCCCCAGCCCTCTCTTGGGAATCCAGGTATTCACCCCATTATCCTCACCCTGATAGAGAATCCAAGTCCCAGGGTCACCCTCAAGGCCCAGAGTCCCTTGGAACCCAAGTGACCAAGCCATCATGCACCCTCACATCCCCTCCAAAAAGCTCCTAGCCCCACTCAGGGTACCATGCTTCTTCCACCTCAGCCCCAATCTGGCTCCAGAACCAGGAGGGGGGCTGAAGCCTCTGAGACATCAATCTGGGGGTGGGGGGGTGTACTGACTTCCATCCTCCCCCCAAAATTAAAGCCACCCTTCCCAGCCCACCAGCCCCAGCCTCCGTGTCCCGGTAACCAGGCAACGTGTGTGCAGCGACAGTCCTGGGAGCGGGGGAGCAGGAGGCTAAAAATAAACTTTGCAGAAGAGAGGGAGTGAGAGAGACTACATGCAACACAAAGGGAACTCGGAAAGGAGGTGGGGGGGCTCTGGAAAGGCCTCAAGCCGCATTCTGGGAGCTGTCCCAGGCCCCCTTGTTAACCCCCTTCCCTGAACAAGCTCCCCCCTAGGGCCTGGACCCTGGCTCCTATTCCTGGCAGGGACCCTTCCCCACTCCCAGGCCCACCCCAACATCGGCTTTCCTCATCGGACACAGCATACATAAGGGCCTGTTCCCAGCTTTGGGGGGGAGAAAGAAGGAGGGGTGACGTCAGGGTGTCTCAATGGGGCTCTGTTCCCCAGGCCTTGGAGCCAGGAGCCAGGCACGGGCAAGGGGAGCATGTGTGAGTGTGTTGTGTATGCATCCACGTGCTTAAGACAGGGAAACACCAACCTGTACCAAGAGAGCTTGGGGGTGCAGAACCTCTGAAGGATGGGGTCCAGCAAGACAAGGAGAGAGTCACATTGAGAAAGGGGTTCAGGAAATTGCAGAGACAGGGTATAGAAGTGGCAGCAGACACACATGGAATGGCAGGGTCCCAGAGGCAAACCTGAGTCCTAGAGGCGGGGCAGGGATTCTCCCAGTCAGACTCTGTAAGCCTGTGGGGACTGAACTCCTGGGCACCCCCCAACTTCACGTGACTGCCCAAAGTTTTTTTTAAGGGGCTATGGGGATAGGAAGGGAGGAGTGGTAGTAGAGGAAGACCACGCCAACCTCCTGGGGGGCCCCACCACCTCCCCCACTCCAGGCAGTCCTCTATGGCGCCAGAGCCGGGAAGAAAACAGGAAGTGGGAAACAGCCACGGCACAGAAGAGAGGGGCTGGGATGGAGGATCAGATGGAGGGGTGCGAAGCGGCAGGATGGGAGGCAGACGGAAAGATGGACCGATGGACCGATCGGGAGGCCATTCCAGAGCCCCCCTCCGCCTCTCCCCCTCCCCCAGCCAGAGAGCCCACACACTGCTCGGCCCCGACAGGGTTGGGGAAGCGGTCCAGCGGGTCCCATCAGGCCAAGGCCCGCAGCGGGGAGGAAAGACAAGGCGGGGTTGTCTGGGCGCTTGGGCCCCCTCCTCGAGCAAGGGGAGGCCCTAACTGCCCCCCGAGGCCCAGCGAACCGAGAACTAGTGGGAACCTGGGAGTACGTGGGACGCACGTGACTGACCCTACAGCACTCCGCACCCCTGCCCCATCCCCGGCCCCCT